TTTTGTGTTTTTTTTTACACAAGAACCTTGTGTTATCAATTTATTGTTGAGCCATGTCTTTATTTAGGCACACACTTGATAGGATAAGGATATAACAGAGTTTATGTCTTAAATTTGTTTCCTGTGTTTAACACTTCCCCTTTGTTTTTTTCAGGGAAGGAAGAATCGGTCGCCACCTTCAAAGGCAACGAGTTCTTCTGCTACGACCTGTCCCTGACACCCATCCAGAGCAGCACCGACGAGATCACCCTTTCCTTCCGAACGCTGCAGCGCAACGGGCTGATGCTGCACACCGGCAAGTCGGCTGACTATGTCAACCTTTCTTTGAAGAGCGGCGCAGTCTGGCTGGTCATCAACCTGGGCTCGGGGGCTTTTGAAGCCCTGGTGGAGCCGGTCAATGGCAAGTTCAACGATAACGCCTGGCACGATGTGCGAGTCACCCGCAACCTGCGCCAGGTAATCAGTGCTCCAGTCAAGATGTTGACACTGCTACTCACTCTTTGTCCCATATTTTCCGCTTTTTAAGAACGTGGAGAACACAAGAAGTCTCTTCCCAGCTGTCTACCTATTGTATGTTCTTGTTCTAACTTTTTTCTTTTTTTTTACAGGCAGAAGCTGAAGAGAGGCTCCTCAATTTATTCATTTTCCCTTGAAGATATACAGTGGGGGAAATAAGTATTTGACCCCTTGCTGATTTTGCTGGTTTGAAGAAAAGAATGCAACGATCTATAACTTTAATCATATGTACATTTTAACAGTGCAAGACAGAATCCCAAAGAGAATTCCAGAAAATCATATTAATTTATAAAAATTGATAACCATCTGATGAGGAAAAATAGGCAGTCTTTGTAAGTGGGCAAACCTGCAAAATCAGCAAGGGGTCAAATACTTATTTCCCCCACTATATCTCTTTTGATGTCACATACACAATGAACAAAGTTGGTTAAGGTACAATTAGATCATTATTGAATACAAGATAATTCTAAACACTAAACGTATCTTCCAGGACATGCTTCTCTTGTCTTGTACTTATTTTTGCATATCAAAGTAGCATGTTAAACATTTTTCTTTTTTTAAATCAAGCCTGTTAAATCCCTTTAATCTGGGCTGTGTGCCACTCTTGTAGGCCTGATCACAGGATCCTCGGTTAAATCTAACGAGTACAACCGGTGCTCTCTTCATATTGATGCCGTGCCAAGTTGGAGCAGATAAAAAACCCACGACTAATGCAGGGTCATAGGAAGTGGAATTGAATGTAGATTAAACACGCAGATGCTGTGCCGAGTGGATGACAACCTGCAGAAAATGTTGGATGATATGAACTGGTTCTGAACATCAGTTAAACACTTTCACATCGTCCTCAAAATCCAGATTTTTGGCTTGTATTCTAAGCTGTGCAAAAAGTGGCATTTTTCACAGAGAAATAATGAAATTGCATTGCTCAGTATGTATAGAAATGATACATACAGTTACACAAAGAGACTGTAACACCTCCATCAAGTGACAAACTACTTAAAACCTTTCTGAACACATAACCAAGTGCATCTTTGCAAAGCTTTAATTGCAAATAAAATAGTTGTTGCAAATATTCCTTGTTAATGGGAATTAACTGTGTGAAATATTGTGCAATTCCCTATGACTGGCCTGTATCATCTTCACAAGTATACAGCCAAACAGAAAGTGCATCCACAGACAGGCATACTGTGAATCCCAGACCCTCAGGATGCACCGAGTCATCAATTGGCAAGTGCAAGTACCAGCAGTGAGATACAATCAATTTCACTTAGACTTGCCGTGCTTACTTCTTCACATTTTTTTGGTAAATGTAATTGGAATGAATGGCTTGTCAGTACTGATAATGGGAATTGTAAGCAACACAGAATGCAAAAAAGGCTAATGGAAGTGCATTAACACAAACATGGTGAATCAGCTTTTTTTGTATCTGGAAAAACATTATCAAAGTAGAAAGTAGAGGAGAAAGCAGCCAATATATGGCCTTGTACTTTTAGACACTAATGAAATTGCTATGCAAGACGAAAAAACAAAGAGCAAAGTAAATGGTAATATGAATTAAGTGCAATTAGAGTACAAAAAGGCATTTTCAATTCAACCAGGATGTGTGCAGTATGTAATATTACAATAATGTTTGTGTAAATATGGTATTTGGATGATAATGCAGTTTGTGATCTATAGAGCTGATTAATTTTATCTCACACTGTACTGCCTCAAGAAGAAAGATAATGATCACACACTTAGTCACGTACAGAACTTCAGACTCACCACCTCAGACACACAAACACAGTTGGGGTCAAATATGTAACACTGTAAAGCTCTGTGCGATCAGCAGACTGAAACTAACTTAATGACTTTGGGAAGCCAGTTATTTTAAAGATTTACATCAAAGGCCTGTCCACCTACTACCAACTGCACTGCAATAATCATTAGGCAAATGTAAAGCTCGTGCTCACACTAAACTGAATCACAACAATCTTTTTTCTAACGGACTATCTGTCTTTACTTTCATTTAAATGCATTATGTTGAAGAAATGGATGATGACTTAATTGCATACTGCAATTTATTTGTAAATAACAGGCTCACAAACATATTTATAATGGGGTGAGGGCATTTTCACTTGGGGTCTCTTTTAAATTAGTGATACTTAGTCACATAGATGAGCAGATATTACATTAGAGTACTCGGTCATGATGACCTCCCATAAAGTGTTTTGCAGGTGATCGCCATCAGATCACACAGTGGCTTGAATCCCCACTGGATCAGCTTATTGACTTAACAGGCAGCCTCTAAGTGTTCAGGAGCTCTCCAGATTTACACCGCACCATCCCTGCATAGGGACACAAGGAAAGAGGTATCAGTGACACTGACCACCACTGACCTTGTGTTTACTGCTGTGCTGATGACCAGTTGATCAATGATTACAAAGAGAGAGTCACTCATGTGGGTCTATCCCTTAAAAGGTGATTAAATACTTAAATAAAAAAGTAAAAATTAGATATGGATGATCCATTTTTTTATTAATGTTTGATTTGATATGATATTATAAGATAAAACAGTGTCAGAGTCTGGTCTCAATATTTCTTCCACACTAATCTAAATGTATTTTTTAAAATTGGAATATATTTCTGGATATGGCAAATAATGGAAAGAAATGTTTGATTAAGAAAGGATATTTCAGTACTTTTAGAACGACAAAAAGCACAAATATGCATGTCCTATATATTTAAAATCTGCCTTTGCCTTTGTATACACAAGTCTGACAAAAACTATTTGTAAAATCATTTTTTAGCTGGTATGATCATTACCCTCTATAAACGACATCATCTTGTGACATGAAGCTCGGAAAATAAGTAGCAATGTCCATTGAATGAACTGTTGATTTTAATTGCATCATGCTTTAATTTGTCCACCTTCATAAATGCTGCCATTTCCAAAATAAACACATCAATCATAAATAATTGGAATAGCAGGAACTGTGGTATCATTCATTGTACTTTGCTCTGAAGCCCCAGATTATTTTTCTTGTGGCCATCCCAGGTATTTTGAAATTAGAGTTGGCATGAAAAACATGGAACAAGCTTAAATACTCAAAGATCTATTCACTCATAACAGCGTCCCACTTCATCTATTTTAACTGAGTGCCATTATAAGAATTCACCCTTCCTCAAAAGCCACATTTGTTTAAAGGCGAGGAGGCAGTACAGTAAGGAGTTCAAGACATGGACCAGTCGTTTTACCAGAGCGACAAATCTCTTTTGTGGCCATAACCGAACGACTATTAGGAGGTGTCTTGCCTTTGCCACGTTTGCAATGACCTCACTTTTAATCTCTTCAGGTTGCTGCTCTGTTTTGCTGTGTGCATATTGGCATCTGGCACACAGGAATTCCATTCCATTCTTTACATACAAGTGAAAAATGCTTTTTAGAATTGCTTTCCTTCAACAAGAAAGTTTCCGACTGAGGTTATGGCACAACCACAGAGGTTTTCAATGTCCCATTCATTCTGCATCTCCCTCTCTTTAAGTCCCTTGCAATATCATGCACATCTAGCCTTGCATGAGCTCCAAAACAAGTGAAGCCTCCAAGCTCTCTCCTCTCCTCCCCTATATGTGTTTATTCACTGTCCACAGAACCTATGAATTTGTCAGCTTTGTGCAGGATAAAATGAAGCAGACAGAATTAGGTGAGGTGATAGAGACACGACAAGTAAGGAGAGAGAGGGGGGTGGTGGGGGGGTTGTGCCCATCAAATGATTACAGTTTCAGAGCTCCACTTGGTGGTCTCTGCCAGCACTGCAAGTCCGTATCGGAGAATGACTTAACAGGTTAGGCTAATTCTGTCTGGTACACGTTTGATTGGCAGGCCAGCACACATATCTTGACCTTTAATCAATGCAAGTCTCTAGCCACATTGCACACACCCACCCAATCCTTTCACACCATTCATTATTCACATCAGTTAGCATAACCAGCAAGGCTTTTTTTTTAACCTCATTTCTCTCTGTGCTCCTTGTGACATGCTTTACCATCATAGATATATTGTAGACTCCAGAACTGTGGCCATTTCCTCCCATGGGACTATATACAGAGTCTAAACACATCGCAAGAAGAAGAAGGCCAAAGGCAAACATATTAATTCTCATGTCAGGTGTGTCGAGAGTAATATATTGGGCAAATGCGTCAAATATTAAGCACGGAAAAATAAAGCAGTCAGGATATATTTAATAATTTCCGTCCCTTTTATAATGCATTAACAGCTTAAATAAAAACTGCGACCATGCTTTATTTCATACAGTAACTTTTAAAAAAATGCTTTTAAATTCCATATTGATTTCCCAGCAAACCCTGCAGACCTACTGTACACATGTCATTTTCCATAAGTGATCACTCATGGAGGCCATTCCAGTGAACTGATTTCTGCTCTCAGAAGCAAGTGGATTTCCCCCAGGGAAATAGTGCAACAATATAACAGAGATATCACAATAATCGTTCGGCAGACAGACATGCCTATTTATCAGAGTTGTCCAGTGTTTAGATGGAGCAAGAGTTTTTGCAAAGATTTAGATTTGATTGTTTTCTGTTTTACTACTTACTGGAACCAAAGCCACTGGAACTGTAAGCGTAACGGACAAAGCAATCTTGACTGAATCTTTTCTTTCATTAAATTGTCTTTTATGCATGGTATTGTATTTGTCCCTTCCGTAAGAATATTGTTGACAACCATCCCCCTATTTTTATTTATGCTTGTTGTGTAAACCTTTATTTATTTCCAAAAGAAGTATTCCAAGTTTGAGGTCAAAATCTTTAAATATTTTGTAGAGATATCTCTTTAGGCCATGCAATGGACTGTCCAGGGTGTACCCCGCCTCTCACCCATTGACCACTGGGATAGGCTCCAGTTCTCCCTGCGACCCCATTAGGCAATAAGCGGTACCGATAAT